CATTATTAGTCATTAATAACATTCAAAAACACAAATTCACAAAATCACACAAAGTTTTAAAAAGAAAACAAACCTTCTGCAGCACTTGCATTAGCTGGTGTTTCCTCTATGACTTCCTTCTGGATGTCACTGTTGTGCACAAATACGTAAAGTGTTATTGACATGGCTAAGCGAAATTCTAAAACAAAAAACAGAAATCAGAAACACATGCAATGATACAATGCAATGCCATTTAGCAACAGATGTTACACTTTAACATGACATAGTTAAATGTTCTTGAATAATAAAAGCTGCCAAATACTCCCGGCGCCTGTCATCAAAAGCATGAGCTATACTTGTCACCAAACAGTAATAAACACAACCCCCGATTAAATATAATCACGGCATTGTTGCTGGTGTGCCTTACTTTTATGCGCATTAAAAGTGGAATAAATATTTGTCTCAATTGATGTCTTTAAAAGGACACTGAACTTTCTGACTAGGGTTGCACGGTTTACCGGTACTATGGTAGTATCGTGATACTATGGCTCCAAGATACTGGCGGTGCCACTGTAGTTTGTAAACGGTAGTATTGTCATTAACAGTCTGCCTACAATACATAATGCTGCATGTGAAAAAGTCACTAAAATACTTACACGATTCAGCAACAATAGATCATTGTATTTTAATAGTCTATGGAGCCTTCTAAGGTTGTAAAACTGTAGAATTTGCGCCTTTTATAGTAGCCTATTGCATATTTTGTGATGGTTCATTTTGAATCGGAATTCGTTTATTTCTGTTCCTGTCAATATGATATAATAGCTACAACAACCGTGACAATCTATTAAAAAGAATGACTCATAAAGTGAAATTTTGAATTACTTTGGATTCTTATCCGATAATAAGTGTGAAAAAAGTATGACAGATGAAAAACCCAAAATAGCAACAGGAATCAATTTTTGACCACTTCATATAGCCTAGGTTTGTTGGAAAAATGCTCTTTTCTTTATGTATCTTTATTTTAATGTATTTTTTTTGCTGGAATTAATACATTTTATGTGAAGAGATGTGCAAATACTTTTTTCAACAATAAGGGAATTATTTAAATTCAAGTAGGCCTATAATAACATATACAATATATTATTTCTGACATTTTTCTTTATTTCATGGATTTAAGTTATGAATTACAGTATTGCAATACTACTTGGTATCATACTTCAGCTGGTATAGTATTGTAACATAAATTAATGGTATCACAACACAACAACCCTATTTCTAACTATTCCTCAGATGATTATTCAAATGGACAAAATATTCGGACTATTCTTGATCATGCAGTTCTTTGCTGAGAATTTTGTTAAATGTACTTTTAATGCATTAAACGATTTAAAATTACCCTGACACTCAGTATGGAGACAAGGTAACGTTAATAGAACAATTCATGAATATGTTCTATGGCTTGTGCGGTATTGTTCAAAAGGTTTTCTTTGATGTGTAAGTGCAAAACTTACATTTCCACTGCATATCAGCTCACAAACTGGTAGTCTGAAATAAAAAATAAATAAAGGGTATAATGATATTACAAACCAAATATGCCACTCACAATACTCTAATGGTGTGCTACATTTTAAACAACCTTGTAATTGTTCAAATTTATTTGCCCTAAATTGTTAAAAATTAGTGAAACCTTCTTTAAAAATGCAAACTAACAGGTTTGGCAAAGCCTGTTTCTTTACAGAAAGTTTGCTTATAACAAAGGCTTGTTGATGCCTTTGTGTGATATTGAGCAAACAAAGGGATGTTTCTGTGCTTGGTTGTACGAGTTATAACGTTACCACTTCATCATTAACGTTATCCATCACACATATTCAGTCGCGTCTGGTCAGATTTATTTGTCATTACAGCAATACAAAACACTCAACGTAACGGCAACACTGGAATAAACCTTCAAAACGGCATAAAGAAAAGACAAATAGCATATAAAACAAATAAATGAGTTAAATATCTCTCGCATTTTCATAAGTTTAACTTTAAGTTTCATAAGGATTGTTAGCATAAGCACACTTTAGCATCATGTGTAAATATGTATCTGCCTCATACAGTGACACGAATCGTAATCGCATCGAAATCCTAAATTACCTACGACACTCACGGGTCCATTTTGAGCTGAAACTGCTTCATAATGTTCTAAAAGCCTCGGCGGGTTAAAACTGCTGCTGCCCCGGCGATCATGGAGAAAAAAAACGACTGGTCTGGTCATGAGCCGCTCGCTGACGCCGGACCGAATCACAGCTGATCTCCTCACCTGCTTCCTGCAGGTGATCTCATAAAAGTAAATCTTAAAAAAAAAAAACATGCATATTTTCGTCACAAAAAGCGCCACTAAAGTTCAGCGATAACTAACGTTACTGTATTTGTAATGCGGATAAATAGGTTTCGTTTTCTTTTTTAAAAATGTAGACCTACAGCTATGTGTTAACTTTACATCTATTTGAACGGATCATTGCGCGCGCTCTTGCTCTCTCAGTGCATCATTTAAAATGGCGCGGCCCGCTCTTTTAGAGCATAACGCCCACTTTACAAATTACTACTAACTTTACAAATTATTAATAGTTATTCAAAAGGACTAAGCAGCTAAAAATAGCTTATCTAGTAAAGTAGACAGTATTGCAAATAACGTGCAGTGGTCAAAACGTTTAGCCACAACATCATGGGCTATTAATTAGTTCACAAAACAGCAAACAATTTCACAAAGTGCAGGAAATAAACAGATTACTGATACTATACAAATAAAATCAAAGTAGTATTTAAAACGAAAAGTTTACCTTGATTTACAGCAGTACATCTTCTCAATATGAAATCCTGTCCTTCAATGGCGGTGCTGGGTGGCGGTTGGTTGTGACTCGGGATGGGGGATGGGAAATCACCACCCAGTACGCATGCGTAACAGCATGGCTTAGCCCTTATAAGCAATTTTACTCAAATTACATTAGTTATGGGAACTTTATACCTTACTATGTCAGCAACACTAATGCATTTCTAGTAAACTCAACAATTAGCTTAAAATTAAGTAAACACACTAGAATTTTGATAGTAAGGAATACTATTCGCATTTACAGTGTGTGGACTATCAGTTCTGTTCAGATACCATGATATTTGCCGCCCTCAAGTGGATGAGAAAGAGAATACAACCAATAAGAAAGTATTAGCGACGCAGCCTTATACTGCAGAAGTACAGAATTAAATATTTATATAAGTGCTTGAACAAGTATTAAAACAAGTAGATTTACATTTATAATATGATTTAATATTTATTTTATCTTTATTTTAGGCATTACTATAAGAATTGTCAGGTATTATGTATGCAATATGTAGTCCAGCAAATTTTAAAACAAAACAAATTGATCTCAAGGACATTTTATTTGATGTCATAATTAGAACGTCAAAGTGGAATGTTAAGGCTTGACGGTGTAATTTAGTTTTAGTGGGTAGTGTGGAGTGAGACAGTGCGTATGTTTTATCATGGGTCAGCGAATTTCTTGTCTGAATATAGCGACAGAGTCGGAGTGTGTGTACAGTTTACATCCTAGTACACCACTTCAGCTAAATAATGACACGCCTCGTCTTGAAAACCATCAGCTTGATGAGAGCCGTGTTGTTGCTTGTGAGGAAGATGGAGGGAGTTTGGTAAAGGAGAAAAAGAAAGTGAAGAAAAAATCGAGTTTTTGGAGAAAGCTGTTCCGCTTTTCACGCCCAAGAACTGGAAGGGGTGAAAAGGTGAAGCAGGTGGACAGTGAGAAGGTGAAGCCAGTCACCGAAGCAGAACCTTCTACTGATGGTAAATCCCTTTATTTTTTTCTGTGACTGGAAAAAATTAATAAAAATGATCACCATAGCTTTAAAATATTGTGTCTGCAAATATATGTATTTGTAAAAGGATTGAAACGTTCCTGTGTGTTTTTATTAAAGTAAATGTTGAATGTATGTTCCCCTCTTTAGATCAAACCTCAGTAGGAAACATCTCAAGAACTGTTGAGCATAATGACAACCAGCAAGCTCCTAACAGCCTTGAGGTTCCTTCCTCCATCACTGACCTGCAAATACAGGAACAGTGTGAGAATGTGGAGCTGGAGGAAGAAACGTCTACTGAAGGTAAATCTCTTCATCTTTTGTGTTTACTGAACTTAATCATTAAAGAAGATCATCATAGCTTTAAACATTTGCAGAGTTCAAATGTTCAGATGTGCAGATGTTTGTGTATCTGAACTCTTCAGTTTTGTCTTTGTAAATACTATAAATGTATTATTTGTAGCAGTATTGAAATGTTTGTGTGTTTAAATATAATTGTTATATTTTCCTCTTTAGATCAAACTTCAGTGGAGACCATATCTTCTGTAGAGAGTTATGGTCCTCAGAACACTCCCAACAGTAGTTTTGAGATTCCTCTCTTCGCTGTTGATGAGCAAATCCAGGAGTTTCCAGATGATCTGTCAGAGGAAGAAACTGTGTGTCCTCTGGCAGAAAACCCAAGCCAAGACATGGTCTTGATTATTGGGAGTAAGTTCATATTAATTATGGCTGCTTGATGCTTTCACTTTTTGAAAGGATTAGATGTTTGTGCATTATGTATTAGTGACGTAATGGTGTATAAAGTGGTAATAAAGTTTTACTTTTGCATTGTAGAATATGAATCTGTCTCTAAAACTAATTATGTTTGAACAGGCATGTGCTGGACCTACAACATGGGTGAGCTACTGGGAGAAGGAGGATTTGGTGCCGTATATGCTGGTGTCCGTGTCCATGATGGTCTTCCGGTAAATTTATATATATTTTTGCAAAATCTACCTAAAAAACTATATTTATGTGTTATGCTTTGTCGTTTGTAACACAATTAGAGCCCTTGATAAATGGTCAACCTGACCAAACAAGCTACAAATTCATGACTAGAATTTCAACAAGGTTTAAAGAATGGCCTGAAGTAATCCAGTGCTAACTGTTATATTCTGTTTTGTTGATCAGGTGGCAATCAAGTTTGCCAGAAAAATGGAGGGCATGGAATATCTCTACGTTGTAAGTAGACTCATCTCCTCTAACTCTGTTTTATTTTTTTCAACAGTGTTAATCATAGACAGCAAACTATCTCTCAATAAACAAATTATAAACATGTTGTGCAAACCACCTTAATTTAACCCTCCTAAAAACTCTTTCCACTAGCCTGGCCTTCCAGAACTTGTACCACTTGAAATCGGCCTCACACTTATGGCAAACAAGGGTCCCAGCTCACCCAACATAATCGAGCTGCTGGATTGGCAGGACTTTCCAGACCATTATATAATGGTCCTGCAGCGCCCTTCACCATGCCTGAGTGTGTTCAAGCTGTTGGAGAGCTGTGGCAACATCTTTGAAGAAAGGTTTGCTCGGTATGTGATGCGCCAGGTTATCGAGGCAGCTGAGACCTGCTGCCGGCGCGGAGTATTCCACAGAGATATAAAATTGGAGAACTTGATCATCAACACACACACCATGGATGTCACCCTGATTGACTTCGGCTGTGGGAACCTGTTCCACGAAACAGAGTACCACACTTTTAGTGGTATGTACAGTATTAAAACTTTAGTGTCATGACACACAAGCTGCTGAATACAGTAAAAACAAACTGTTGTAACTCAGACATGCAAATCTCTTTCCTCCAGGCACAGAGATGTACTGCCCTCCAGAGTTTTTCGAAACGGGCAAATACTTAGCACGGCCAGCAACCGTGTATTCGCTTGGAGTGCTGCTATACACTATGGTGTGTGGATATATGCCAGACTACACGGATCGGGAAAAGATGCAGCACTGGCTCTGGTATCTGCCGTCCTTGTCCTGTGGTAAGAACTTGAAAAAATTGTAACAATCATACAAAAAAGTGTCTGACAAAGCCACTTGGCTCAGCTGTCCAAAATGCCATCCGGAGATGTAAAGGATGTTTAAAGTAATGATCAAACATTAATCCTGTCTTTCAGAATGCAGTCATCTCATAAATGCCTGCCTGCATCCCGATCCCAGCGAGAGGATACAACTGGAGCAGATCCTCCTCCACGACTGGTTTACGGTACCTATGATCTACAAAAACTTTTCAAAATGTTAGTTATTTTGGGGACAATAAACCTGATTGTGTTTTTGTTTTTGCTTTAGATCACAGCATCAGACATGGAGGATGAGCGCCCGGTCCTGGTCATGCAGGAAGAGCTGATTAGCCAGGCATGCTAACACCAGTGGCCTCACCACCTCTCCAATCCTCTGCTTCTTGCTAATGTCTGGTGTCAGAGCTTGAGGCAGCAATATTTGCGTCTTGCGGTGTTGCTGCCAAAAATGTATTGTTGAATTGAAATAAAATTGTGTCAATTGAACTGTTGTGTTTGTCATGTTTTTGTCCATTTATTTGCTGAATTAGAATTGGAGTTTGCATTAAGCCTAGTTAGACCATGATTAACTAGTACAGGTGTATTTTATTATGAAAGAAGCTAAAAAAAGAATATTGTGGTCCTCCAGGAGCTGGATTGGACATAGTAAGTAGTAAGGAATGTGTATTTATATTGCACATTTATTGTGTATGACCATACACCCAAAAAGCTTCACAATCATGAGGGGGGTCTCTCCTCACCACCACCAGTGTGCAGCATACACTTGGATGATGCGATGGCAGGCACAGGACAACGGTGCCAGCTATTGGTGGAGTGGAGAGACAGTGATAGAGCCAATTCGGTAGATGCGGTTGATTGGGAGGCCATGATAGGTAAGGGCCGATGCAGGGAATTTGGCCAGGACACAGTGGTTACACCCCTACTCTTTACAAGAAGTGTCATGGGATTTTTAACAACCACTGAGAGTCAGGACCTCAGAGCTTACTGACAGTATAGTGTCCCTTTCTCTATACTGGGGCATTAGGACTCACACACTGCTGGCCTCACTAACACCATTTCCAACAGCAACCTAGTTTTCCCATGTGGTGTCCCATCCAGATTCTGACCAGGCTCAGCCCTGCTTAGCTTCAGTAAGTAACTGCTCTTGGGCTGCAGGGTGATATGGCTGTGAATTATCTGAACTATGAATATTTACAAGTGAGAAACTCTGTTCTTCTTCATTCTACACCAGCGGTTGCCAACAGGGGGGTCCCAGCCCACAAGGGGGTCTCAGCGAGCTCTGTAGGGGGTTGCGTCATATTTAAAAAAAAAAAAAAATTAGCAGTGGACAATTAAGAGAATTATCATTTTGCCTTAGTTGATTTTATTTCCTGGCTGACCAAAAATTGACAAATTTGTAATTCGTCTTCCACAAAAAAAATAAATAAAAAATACTCTGATTCAACTTTAGCAGCTGATAGTAATGACGCAAGAATCCTGGACCCAGGTGAGGAAGCTCCAAACATTTTAGGTCACAGCACTAGCAATACTGGAAACACGAAATGCAGAAAATACCAAGATATTTACCTGAACTATGGTTTTATTATCTTTTCTCGAACCAAAATGTCCCTGACCCAGCCACAGTGCAATATCTGTGACAAAGTTCTTGTTAACAAATGCATGAGGCTGTCCAAATTAATAAGACATTTGCATATGACTCCCCAATACCTCAAGTGTACCCAATACAAATGGCCCACTGATGTTTTCAGAATCAGTTTTATTGCCGAGTGTGCGTCACACATACTAGGAATTTGTTTTGGCTACTGTTACGACCCCAGTCACAACATTAAATGAGGGAAAAACACAAATGGATCAGTCTAGGGGTTTTATTAATTAAACAATCAAATATAAATAAAGTGTGGGGAGGAAACACAATAAACACAGGCTGAGAACATAAGGAGCACAACTCCACGTCTGGACGGCCGCTCAAATCCCCGTCTCTGAATCACTGCAGCACGAGCTCTTAAATAGCCGACGATGAATTGTCTGCAGGTGCGGAGGAAATCAACTCTAAATGAAAACACAACCATCAACACAACACAAGAGGGCGACAAAGTAACAAATAAATAAATAATAAATACATGGACATGTAACACCTTCATCCCCCAAAAGTGTTTTCATCACCAAAACACAAACTAAAAAAAAACATTTTCAAACACCTTCTTACGAACACCATTTCATGCACCTTACCCACTTATTCCACCCGGGACAGTGCATCAGCCACCACATTGTCACAACCTCGGACATGCTTAATGTCAAGGTCGTAGGGCTGCAAAAATAAACTCCAGCGCATCAAACGCTGATTAGAGTTACGCATGGTGTTTAGGAAAGTAAGAGGATTGTGGTCACAATATACAACAATCGGGTGGTAATTAGACAGATAAACTTCAAAATGCTGGATGGCAAGAACCATTGCTAAAGCCTCCTTTTCAATGGTAGAATACTTCCGTTGTGTAGAAGTAAACTTCTTTGAAAAGTAACATACTGGGTGTTCTACTTCAGCACCTCTTTGCTGAAGGACAGCTCCCGCACCAACATCGCTTGCATCCACCGCAAGACTGAATGGCTTTAAATAATCTGGTGCAGCCAACACTGGAGCTGAAATCAACAAAGACTTTACGTTCTCAAATGCACATTGGCATGCATCGGACCACTCAAATTGGATCTTTGGACACAACAGATCGGTTAGCGGAGAAACAACCGTAGCAAAGTTCTTACAAAATGAACGGTAGTAACCTACCATACCTAGAAAACGACGCAATTGCTTGCGGTCCTTCGGAGAGGGAAAATCACAAATTGCAGTCACCTTAACAGCAACTGGGCGCACTTCACCATTACCAATAACTTTTCCCAGGTAATCAATAGTGGCTTTACCAAATTCACATTTGGCCAAGTTAACGGTAAGCTTAGCTTCTGCCAATCGATTAAAAACCTGTCGAAGCAAACTCATGTGCTCTTGCCATGTCGAACTATACAACACTACATCATCCAGGTACGCGTCACAATTTGGAACACCGGCCAACACGGTGTTAACGAGCCGTTGAAAAGTGCTTGGAGCGTTTTTCATCCCGAAGGCCATCACCCTATAATTAAGAAAAGCATCCGGGGTGACAAATGCTGATATTTCTCTAGCACGTTCACTTAGCCCCACTTGCCAATATCCCTTTAATAGATCGAGTTTCGAAACATATGTAGCAGAACCTACACGATCCACACAATCATCTATTCTTGGCAAAGGATAGCAGTCACTTTTAGTTACGGCATTTACACGACAATAATCTGTACAAAATCTAAATGTGCCATCAGATTTCTCTACCAGCAGACACGGTGAACTCCATGGACTAGTACTAGACTCCGCGATGTGATTTTTCAACATGTACTCAACTTCCTTCTGCAGAAGCGACCTTTTAAGTGGATTAACACGATATGGATGTTGTTTAATCGGCTGGGTAAAACCAACATCAATATCATGCTCAATCACTGAAGTTAAACCAGGAATGTCACTGAACAACATTGGAAAACTTCTCACTAACCCAATGACTTCAGCTTTCTCAGTTTGACTCAAGTGTGGTAGTTTGCTAGTTAAATTTTCGAGCATCTCAGAGTTTTTCAACCTACCCTCAATGATACATCTAGATGGTTCTACATCTTTTTCATCGACTGGTTCAGATGTAAACACACCCACAGATAGAGACTCTTGAACAGGTAACTGTATGACGTTTTTAACTTTCTCAGTATCCGACTTTCTCTCATAATAGGGTTTAATCATGTTTACATGACAAACTCTCAGACTTTTTCGACGATCAGGTGTATGGATAACATAATCTCGATCTGACAGTTTCCTTTTGATCTCGTAAGGGCCACTATAACGAGCTTGCAACGACCCACCAGATACTGGCAATAACACTAAAACTTTGTCACCAGGGCTAAAACTTCGTTCTCTCGCTTTCTTGTCGAACCAAGTTTTCATCTTTTCTTGTGATTTTTCAAGGTTTTGCTTTGCCAATTCACGGACTCTATATAGACGTGTACGAAACTGTGAAAAATACTCCGGTACGGTGGTACTTTTTGAATCAGAGAGCCACCTCTCTTTCAATACGGCCAAAGGGCCACGCAAATTGTAGCCAAACACGAGCTCTGCAGGGCTAAAGCCCAGTGATTCTTGAATCACCTCTCGTGAAGCGAAAAGCAACCATGGAAGTCCTTCCTCCCAATCTCCCTCAAGCTCAAAACAGTACGTACGCAACATAGACTTTAAAGTCTGATGAAACCTCTCTAAAGCACCTTGACTTTCTGGATGATACGCAGTGGAAACGTTATGTTTTATACCAAGTCGTTTAAGTACTTGAGAAAACGTTCGAGATGTAAAATTCGTTCCCTGATCACTCTGGAGAATTTTTGGCAAACCAAAGAGCGTGAAAAACTTGACCAACGCTTTGGTGATCGCTCTAGTGGTTACAGAACGCAAAGGAATCGCCTCTGGGAAACGTGTAGTCGCGCACATAATCGTTAAAAGATACTTAAAGCCAGATTTTAAACGTGGAAGCGGTCCTACACAGTCTATTAAAATGTGTTCAAAAGGCTCAGAAACCATCGGAATTGGATAAAGTGGTGCAGGTTTGATAGTTTGGTTGGGTTTTCCAACAACTTGACAAACGTGACAAGTCTTACAAAAACGTGCAACATCACGCTTTAATCCAGGTCAATAAAAGTTTCGCAAAATCCGATTGTAGGTTTTTAAAATACCCAAGTGACCAGCTGAACCATTGTGTGCACAATCTAAAATCATGTCTCGGTAATCTACTGGAATTAAGATTTGGTTAACTACATTCCAGTCTTCAGAAGATTTTGGAGATACCCACTTTCTCATCAGAATGCCGTTTCTAAGAAAGTACATCTGAGGCGCACAAGTATTCTCCTGCTCTGGTCGAACTAATTCGAAAAGCGAAGTAAGAGTGGAGTCAGATTTTTGAGCGTCAATTAACTTC